CCGGCCACACAGCCCGGAAGTCCCACACCAGCCATCATATGCCGGCCGTGAAAGCCTTCGATAATACAATGATGATGAAGCTAGGGAACAATTTAATAACATTCACTTGTAGGGTATTTTTTAAAATGTGAATACAATAAAGTGAATTGCTAGTGATTAATATTACTGAATATTTTTTTAAAAAAGAAAAAGAACAGAGAATGCATCCACAGAAAAGGAGGATAAAAAAGATTGCTTAAAATGTGCATACACCAGTGTTTATGCTACAATCATAAATTTCATAGTGTTATCATTTAAATGAAAACAAAATGCAATTCTCACAATAGCTGTGGAAACCGATGTGGTGATCCATGTTGCTGGCAATATGAATTCAGCAGGAATCTTACTTAGAGGATGTGCTCCTGACCATATGCAGAGTGGTAGAAGAATACCAGCTAATTAACAGCAGCAAGCCCCATTCAGAAAAGGAGACATGCTCATAATGTAGTTATCTTGGATGCCATGAAAAGGCTTAATTCAGGTCTTCAGTGAATGCTAACAGACATTCATTATATTTGAAAAGTACCCTAATCAGAAATACATAGGAGAGAAAGCCATATCTTCTATCTACACTACATCTTTAAGAGGAAATCAAGAGAGACAGACAGGAAGTTCCCTAGTCTTTAAAAATTAGAGACACATTTAACTAATCATAGGCCAGGTAAGAGATAACCATGGGTAGTGTGAAACCCTGTCGCATTCTCTATTTCTCACCATTTATTTTGCCCAAAAGGTTCATACATGCAAACAGCTGATGCAGTCTCCTACATATCAGCTTGCTAACTGGAGATGGGAAATTCTCCTAGGGCCAAGGTGGCATGTGCAACCAGGCAACTGCAACTCAACCCTTCTGTTGATGTGTGCAATATTGATGCACATAGAAAAGGGCAGGCCTTCAATTGTGCAGTTATGCCCATCTTGGTTTTTTGGTGCCTCCCACAGATGCCCCTGCTTCAAACCTTCTCCAGTCTCCCTTCTTCCATTTTTTAAAATATTTAAATTAACTTGGACTAGACAACCATTAAAATAGAGGCGGGCACTTTAGATGAAGGCCTAGCTTTCTTGAAAAGTCTATAATGCTGGGAAAGATGGAAAGAAAGAGAAGAAGGGGAGAACCAGCAACAAGGTGGATGGACCCAATTACAGCAGTGATGGGTGTACCATTGGAAGATCTGAAGGGCCAGGCTGGAGACAGATCATATACCTGGAGAAAGTATAGCTATGTGGTTGCTAAAAGTTGACCCTAATCATAATCAGTCAAACTCCATAAATTTCTAGCCAGACGTTTTACTGCCCATGATTGAAATAAAGAAATAAAGTCTCCTTTGAGCTGAATTTAACTCCTGGTGACTCTATGGAAACACCCATGTTGTTTGCTAGTCAACAGTAGAGAAGTAGCTTGTCACTATCTTCTTCCAGGATGGTGTTTTGAGTTCCCACCCTAATCTACAGCCCTGTAATGCCCTGCTGATCTCCCAGCCATATGCTAACCAGGTCTGACACCGCTTTACTTTCTCAAGGAGAGACAGGTTTGACTTAGTACTGCCATCTCCTGAAAGATTCATAAGAGGCAAGATTCATAAAAAGAAGATTGACTTGGCAGTGGGTTTGGTGACAGAATAGCATCCTCAGTCATACTGAAAAGGCAATAAGCTCACTTGAGGAGCTCAGTAGGGTCAGTAGACAGTAAAAGCTTATCATCACATCCTGCTTAGAGCAACCCAAAGACATCTTGCCAACCATTTTTAAGGGATGCGTCCTTATGATGTCACCGCTAGAAGCCTGAGGTTGTTTTTAGTGGCTCAACTGTTAAAGTGTTTTCCCTCTTTTCCTGACACAAATCTTATCATACAAACTGTCAGCCATGACTGAATGATGGGGCTGGTGATGACCCCTAGCTTCTAGAAACTTCCCCAACTGGTTGTTGGGCACTGCAGGAGAGACCGGACAGCCTTTTTGTTGTTCCAGCTATTTTTGAGCTAGGAATGTCAGTCCCCTGGAGGACCGGCACTTTCCAAACAGATCTTCCAGGCATTGATGCATCCATGTGAAAAACAAAAAAGTCCTGGAGGACAGGTTGATTTGAGATATTAGGGTGGTGGGTGAAGCAGGAAGGTGTTCCGTTAATCTGTTTGCAAGCTCCCTCCTAAAGGTTGAGTGGGGGTTGTTCCTTTAATTTGTATTATCAATGTCCTGGAAGAGTAATATTTTAAACATTGTTTTTAACAGAAATTTCAGTCTCCTGATTTTAAAGCTTGGAAGGAAGGATAGTCTGTGAGCTCTCTCTCTCTCGTTATGGGCAAAACATCCAAATGAACTATTTTGCCAAGGATTGGTGGGGGTGGGGGTGGGGGGCTAGAACACTGTTTTTCTGCTCTCTGTTGGTCAGCCAGGTGGGAATCTCAGTGGTACAAAGTGAGTGACAATGGGAGTTCTAGCAAATTTGCTTTAAATATTTTCATGGGCAAAAATGGTGGTGAAGTAGGAGTGTACTAAGTTCAACTGTCTGCATATACAGCACCCATTTAGGGGCAGCCAGGAAAGCTGTGTTCAGAAGGGAATGCTCAACTTGGAAGTCCACCTTTTTCCGTCAGTGGAGCCTGCAAAATGCTACTCTCCAGGTCTTATCAATTGTCACGGTGTCAGAGCTAGAAGGCAACCAAGTTTGGCTGTCTCCTGAAACTGAGTTCCTAATTTAGCTCAGTAAGAGATAAGCTCTGGGATATAGGCTGAACTTACCCTCAACCCTGACTGGACTGCCTGTCTTCTTCAGGAGGAAGCCCAAGATGGTGAGTAGGACATATCCATCCTTGCTCTAGCGAATTCCTTGTGGTGGTGAGTTTTGGACGGCTCTGCTGGAAGACAAAACTGGGACCTCTCTCTCTCTCTCAGTGCCACACCAACTTTAAGCTGAGTGTACCTATATACATTTCTTTTTTTTTTTTAGTCCTTAGTGGGGAAAGAGTGAACAAGCAAGCCACTGTTGGGCATTTATGCATGCAAAAAAAAAAAAGGATTAAGCGAAGATGCATGCTCAAATCATGCTGGAAAGATTTCATATCCCAGTGATGGTTGAAAATAGTCTTTGTTATCCAGTCCTTGATGCAACTATTAAAAAAGCAAGGCAAGTGTAGAGAGACAATGGGTAATTATTTGTATCAGGATGAACCAAAATAAAGATTGTTGCATGCTTTAAGGCATACTACATCTGCTTTAACTGCTTCTGGGGAAAATCCTAATTTGTTGAAAGCGATTTCATTTTGGTACTCAGATCTTTACAGTGAAAAGCTCCAGGCCCCTTTCCTTTGATTCAGAATTCAGAGACACCATTAGAAAGAATGGCTACATGGAAGCAAAGAAAGGGCTTTTCTGGGGTTGGTAGGGTTTCTCTCTCTGAAGACCCATCCAGTGAGTTCAGTGAACCTAACAGAGGGTATGGGAACTGAGAATGTCAGAAATGTTATGTACATTGTTTCTCTCATGCTGTACAAAAACTGTAGGAGCCTTGTTCACCTGTTTTGGTTGTCCTATGGAGTGTTTCTTAACGTGTGGTCCTCAAAACCTTAGGAGTCCTCCAAATCAACATTATTTGCCAGATATTGAAGATGTTTGCAAACATTTAAAACAAAGACATTCTTCTCATTATTTTTTTTATTTGTTAAAAAATATAGGACTTTCCCATGAAAAATATTTTGCTTATGCTTATCTCTAATGGGTTTAACATTGTTATGTTTACACGAGTCAATAAATCAATAGTTTATGAAATCATCCATTTTAATTTTTAATATGTTAAATATTGATAAATATAATCCATGCAAACAAAGCTGTTTTGGGGGTGCTGCATAATTTTTAAAAGTGGGAAGGGCTCCTTAGAGCAAAAGGTTTAAGAAACGCTGCTCTGTGGGAATAACAAGATCCCCTTGTTTTTATTAGCTGGGCCCTAGGGCAGCAGAATCCCTGTTGATCTAGCCCAGGGTTTCTCAACCTTGGCAACTTTAAGATGTGTGGACTTCAATTCTGGGAGTTGAAGTCCACACATCTTAAAGTT